CTTCAGTAAGAGTTCATATTCAGTTCAGTTCCTGGCTTGAAGCAGCTGCCTCTGTGTGAATCCTGACGTAACAAGGAAAGCAGTGACCAAGCACCAGCTGGAATCACTGGCATGATGAGAAGCACTGGGACCCTGAACAAAAATTTCAGAAGGAATGATTTACTATTTTTTAATTAAAAAAAGATTCCTCATTCTTTTCCATTTTAATTCAGGGGTTCCTAGGGGAGTATTGGTGCCTAAATAAAGAAAAGGCAGAAGCTGTTTGCTACTCTCTCCTACAGTTCTATGGTATACATTTTGCCCATGCAGATCAGAGCTTCATGAATAATTGCAAGATAAGTAGAAGATTAGTGAGTGGAGTAGGCTTGTGAGTTTAGAGAATTTAGCTAAAATGACTATCAAATGCTAATGTGTTTTATGAAGCTTTAAAGACCTCTGACAACAATCTAAAAATATTGTCATAGAATCATATACTAGGAGATGTAGCCATGGAGGTTATGTGACTTAATCAATGTTACCCAATAAACAAATCTGGGATTGGAACTCAGGTTTCTTTTTCTTTCTACTGAACCACAACTCCATTCAGCATATTGTCCATGGAACTAGCAGAAACTTCAAGCCTTGATTCCTGTAACTTCTTTTTAAAATTTGTCATGATTTTATTTCATTTTTTAAATTTGTGGAATAAAAAGCATTTCCATAACATAATATAATAAAAAAAGATTATTGCACATGAAACTGCAAAGCTATTATGTGCAAATTCTATTGCTTTTAAATACAATAAAGTCATCATGTACATTTTTCCTTTTTTTTGTTCCCCCCCCATGGCATCTATTAAACATGTATAGGTATGAGTGTATGTGTGTGTGTGTGTGTATACAGTGTGTGTATATATATATATATAATATATGTATATATATATACATATATTATATATGTATAATTATTTTATACATACTCCTATTTAGCAGTTCTTTCTCTGGTGTCTCTCTTCATCTGTCCGTTATAGTTAATTTGGGTATTTAGAGTAGTCAAAATAACTGATTCACTCAAAGTTATTCTTAAAACGGTACTGATGTTACTATATACAATATTCTCTTGGTTCTGCTCATTTTGCTTTTCATTATTTCATGCAATCTCATGTTTTTCTAAGGTCATTGAACTCATCATTTCTTATAGCACAGCAGTATTCCATTGCAATCATATACCACAGCTTGTGCAGCTATTCCCCAATTGATGGACATCCCTGCAATTTCTAGTTCTTTGCCAAAGAGGGCTACTATAAACATTTTAGAATACATAGGTTTTGTAACTTCTAAGCTGCCATTCTAGATGATTCTTCAGCCTCTGTCCCTCGCTGCAAGCTTTACAGGGGTTATTTGAGCAGTAGTAGTGTTTATATCTAGAGTGACTGTGATATCTTCCCTCCTCTTGCCCTTCTCCCTTCTCCCCCAATTACCCAACTCATTTTCTAAGTTGTAGGAGTAAAGTTATTTAAAAAATAAACAAGACAAAACAAAACTATACATTTGAGTACAACGATACAGAAAAATCCAATGAGAAAATTCCCTCTACAGTACAGATTGACATCAGCCCTGTAATTTATAATCTTAGACAATGCCCTGAAGTACCTGAGATGTTAAATATTTAAGCATTTCTTCCAGGGTCACATAGCCATTACTAGGTAGGGTCACATAGGCAGATGTGGGTCTTGAATTGTGGTCTAACTGACTCAGGACAGTTCTTTCTTCACTATGACATTCTCTCTCTCTCTCTCTCTCTCTCTCTCTCTCTCTCTCTCTCTCTCTCTCTCATTCTGTCTCATGTTCAATTATAGTGATGAAGAAAATATAATAAAGGCAATGTCATCTATGAAAGAAGCACTATGTTTCTATGTGTGCGACTTCAAGAAAGCATTTATAAAATCAAATATTCATTAATTTAACATGGAGAAGGCTGGGATTTTTACAACCAGAATTGTACTCTTCATTCTTTTATTTTAATCCCAAAATAACATCTCTCTTTAGACAGTAGATTTACAAGTGTTTGAAAATAGCTAGTTTTAGATACTATCATTTATCCATCAGGGCCTCTTGTCAAAAGTGAACTAATTTGATTTTTTTTTTCTTGCAATAAACCTTTATTGGCTCTACTCAATGACCTGAGTGTGCTCCAGCACCACCTAGGATGGTAATGTGCCCACCTCAGGCTCCATGAGGATACTTATCACCCTGTAGCTTCTCCCCAGATTCCCCCTTCCCCCTCCCACAAGAGCTTCCCTCTTTTCCCTTTCCCATCCCCCACTATCACCACTGCTCCCCTTTATTTCTTCCTGGGCAGCTTGTCAGCATAGCCCTCGAAGAATTCATCGTACATCATGGCAATGCACGACAGGAAGACTGAGTACTCCTGGAAATCAACCTCGTTGTCCCTGTTGTTGTCCAGATTGCTCATGAGCTTCTGAAAAGCAGCCTCATCTGTCTTTTTCCCCAAGAAGCTAGGGAGCTCCCGTGTCACCAGCTCCTTCAGCTCTGTCTTATTGAGCTTGAACTTGTCTCCCTCCTTTCCAGAGTACTTGTGGAATGTGGACACCATCACGTCCAGAGCCTTTTCCAGGGGACTTGTCATGATGCTGTCGTAAGGGGCACCAAACCAACCCTAGAGGAAATGTAGAGAGGGGAGAGAGAGAGGGACACACTAATTTGATTTTTTAAAAAAGCAGATACATATCTATAGATAGGCATAAGACCTATGCTTTCAAATGGTGTAAAGAACTCCTTAGTGAAGAAAAGCCCTTCACCAATGTTAAGTTGGTTAAGTTCATATTCTTAAAGAGTCAACCAAAGCACAGAGAGATTGAGCGGCTTGCCCAGGATCACTCTTCTAATATGTCTTAGAATATTGAACTTGATGTAGGTCTTCTTGACATTAATACCAGCTCTCTTTGTGTGTCTGTCTCTCTCTGATTCTCTCTGTGTCTATCTCTGTCTTTCTTATCTGTCTCTCTCTCTCTCATGCATATATATGTGTATGTGTATATGATATCTTGATGATATATTTGTATATAATGCCCCAAAATTATCAAGACAGGTTTAACTTAAGTAATTATGTTTACTCTATTCCAGTTTGGGAGGCAGAGAAGTAAACATTTTAGAAAATTTCCTTTCATGTATGTTTAATTATCAAAGATATAATAATAATAGTAACATTTTCAAAACTGTCTCAGTTATTTAGACATTTAATTCTCCTGAACATCTCATTCTCCAACACTCTATAAATAATTACAGTATCCCAGTATATTGCTAAATTCATATGGATATATTTTAAAATATATCTTAATCATTTCCCAATAACGTCCCATGCCCCATAGAATCTCCCAACCTCAAAAAGAAAAACAGAAGGAAAACTGAACAGAGTCGCATTGGACAATACATTCAATATTTCACACCATTACAATTATTGTGAGTTCAGATGCCTTTCAATACTATATCAAAGTACTCGTTATTCATATTTGTCTTATGTACATGCTTTCTTCACTATACATCAATTCATGCAGAGCTTCCTATATTTCTCTTAATTTCTCACATTTGCTATTCATTATGGGACAGTAATATCCCATTATATTCATCTGCCACAGTTTTTTCATCCACTTGCAACTGATGGATAGCCATTTTGTTTCCTTACTTCCAGAAGACCTATGAGTAAGATTTTGGCATAGAGTGAACTTTTCTTTATGTCTTGAAGCACTTTGGAGGAATGTTCCAATTAAGGATATTGTTTCAAAGGATATGTGTGAATCTTGTAATGACTATTCATGTATAACTGTTTTCCAAATCTGGCAAACCTATATAATGATTTATTATAATTATCTTTCCTTAGTCTTTTCTTTTCTATTTCCATCATTTATAATCATTCCTCAAATTATATGGATGTGATATGAAGCCTCAGAAATGTTTTTATGCACATTTGATTTATTATTAATGATTCAGAATGTCATTTTCATGTACTGACTGTTGATAATTTTACATTCATTCTTTTTAAAACATATTTGCATATTATTTAGCATCCAAGAGTTGTTGAACTAAAGACAAAGTTTCATTAATGATTCCACTACCATAGTGAAGAATTGATTCACAGTTTATAATATTGTGCTTTATTTACCCTTTATAAATCCTGTATGGGGCTAGGGGTGGGAAGTAGACATGTTGATTATAATCTAGAGATATAATTTAATCTCTGATTGATGTATCTACCCAAAGATGAGGCAACAAGAAAATTAACCCAGTTTTCTGAGCTTCCTCTGTATAATAACATTCCTTCTCATTCCTGATTAAATCCTTATGATTGTCTAAGAACTCAACTACCTTCTACAAATTGAGAATGAAGAAGAAAGAACTGGGAGAATGAAAACTTAGAATTCCTTCTTAGGTTGAATATGATGGTAACAAAGTATAGGTTTCAACTCTTACCTTACTTCTATTTTCTCTACCAGAGAAAAAGATCTCAAGAATAGAAAAGAAAGAACAAAAATAATTAATGTGGAGTCATGAGATAAAGTAGAATTTTTAAGAGTATGTCTAGCTGCCTTTAAGCAGTTCAAGTCCCTGATTCATATGAACTACATGCTAAAGATATAACAGATGTGATATTTGAGATACCATAAGCAATCTTTAAGAATAGGGAAAACAGGGAATGAAAGCAGTGACTTGCTTGAGCTCTCCCCAAAACCCCTCCAAATATTCATAAAAAATGGCTCTAACAAATTCTAAAGCAGCAGAACCCACAAAAAGACAGAGTGAAACAAATTTCCAGCCCAAGACAACCTGGATGATTGATCAGAAAGGTATATCATGCTGGGCGGCAACTAACCTGGAGCAGGCCTCAGAGGACTGAATCATGAGCCGCTGTGGTGGTTTCCAGACTTCTCAACCCAGGAATGCCAAAGGCAACTTAGAAGGTCAGTGGGAAAAATCTGTTTCTGCAGTGCTGAGAGAGGAACACCGGGTCTCAGCTCCATTCCCTCAGATTGTGGCCCTGGGTGGAGCGCAGCTGCCTCCTGAGCTTCCAGGTCCACATACTAAGGGGGAATACAGTGGCTGATCAGAGGGGTTTGCAGGGATCTCTTTGCCTTTGCTGAGGCAGTAATCTTTTGCTTTGCCTGTGTTTGGATCTGGGTCACAGTTCTGGGTGGTGGTCCTGAGGTGAGGAGGAACGCTGGCACAGTGGAGCTTGTAGTGGCTGTGGAGAGGAACCCCTCATCACAGTTAAAGGACAGAAAGGAGTACTTGTAGTCACAGGCCAGGAAAGGAGTAAACACCTCACCCCTTATCATACCACCTTGGAAGAACTGAAAATTTACAGGTCCCCACAAGTATCTCTGAAAACAGCTACACAAACCCCCAAACCTTGGAACAGTATATTCTCCACTTTGGAAGTAGACTCTTATCTTAACAAAGAGTTTAAACTCAAGTAATTGGCCAGGATCATAAGCAAGCAGTGCAAAAAGAGTCAGACTATATTATCTTTCTTTGGTAAAAAAGAGAATCAAAATATACAACCAGAAGAAGACAACAAAGTCAAAGCTCCTACATCCAAAGCCTGCAAGGAAAATATGAATCAGTCCCAGGCCTTGGAAGAGCTCAAGAAGGATTTTGAGAAGCAAGTAAGGGAAGTAGAGGAAAAACTGGGAAGAGAAATGAGAGTGATGCAAGAAAATCATGAAAAACAAGTCAGCAGCTTGCTAAAGGAGACCCAGAAAAATACTGAAGAAAATAACACCTTAAAAAACAGCCTAACCCAAATGGCAAAAGAGGTCCAAGAAGCCAATGAGGAGAAAAATGCCCTAAAAAGAAAAATTGGCCAAATGGAACAGCAAGTCCTAAAGCTTACTGAAGAAAATACTTCCTTAAAAATTAGAATAGAGCAATTGGAAGACAGTGACTTTATGAGAAATCACAACACACTAAAACAAATCCGAAAGAATGAAAAATTAGAAAACAATGTGAAATATCTCATTGGAAAAACAACTGACCTGGAAAATAGATCCAGGAGAGAGAATTTAAAATTACTGGACTATCTGAAAGCCATGATCAAAAAAAGAGCCTAGACATCATCTTTCCAGAAATTATCAAGGAAAACCACCCTGATGTATTAGAACCAGAAGGCAAAATAGAAATTGAAAGAATCCACTGATCTCCTCTGGAAAGAGATGCCCAAAGGAAAACTCCTATGAATACTATGCCAAATTCCAGAGTTCCTGGGTCAAGAAGAAAATATTACAAGCTGCCAGAAAGAAACAATTCAAGTACTGTGGAAACACAATCAGGATAACACAAGATATAGCAGCTTCTACATTAAAGGACTGCAGGGCATGGAATATAATATTCAGAGGGCAAAGGAGATAGAATTACAACCAAGAGTCACCTACCCAGCAAAAGTGAGTATTACCCTTTAGGGGAAAATGGTCATTCAGTGAAATAGAGGACTTTCAAGCATTCCTGATGAAAAGACCAGCGCTAAACAGAAAATTTGACTTTCAAATACAGGACTCAAGTGGAACATGAAGAGGTAAACAGGAAAGAGAAATCATAAGAGACTTATTAAGATTGAACTGTTTACATTCCTGCATGGAAAGATGATATTTGTAACTCATGAGAACTTTGTCAGTATTAGGGTAGTTGAAGGAAAAAAATTGTATGTATGTATGTATATATAGATAGATAGAGGGCACAGGGTGAGTTGAAGATTAAGGGGTCATATCTGGAGAATAAAATTAAGGGATGACAGAGGATTATACTCGGAGAAGAAGAAAGGGAGAGGTAGAATGGGGTAAATTATCTCACAAAAAAAAACAGAAAAGAAAAGTCTTACAGTGGATGGGAAATTGGGGAAGGTGAGAAGGAATGAGTGAATCTTCTCATAGGATTTGGCTTAAGGAGGGAATACCATATGCATTCAATTAGGTATGGAAATCTGTCTTACCCTACAGGAAGATAGGGGGAGAAGGGGACAAGAGAGCAGGGGGATAATAGAGAGGAGGGCAGATTGGGAAAGGGTGTAATCAGAAGCAAATACTTCTGAGGAGGGACAGGGTGAAAAGAAAGAATAGAATAAATGGGAGGGCAGGATAGGATTAAGGGAAATAGAGTTAGTTTTTCACAACATGTCTACTATAGACATGTTTTGCATAGCTGCACACATGTATAACCTATACTGAGTTGCTTGCCTTTTCAATGAGGGTGGGTAGGGAGGGAGGAAGGGAGAAAATTTGAAACCTAAAATTTTAAAAACATATGTTTAAAAAAAATGTTTTCACATGCTACTGGGAAATATGAAATACAGGAAAAGGGATACAGAAGTCTATCCTGCCCTACAGGAATATAGAAGGGGAAGGGGATAAGAGATGCGGGGGGGGAACGATAAAAGAGAGGACAGACTGGAGGAAGGGCTATTCAGAATGCATGCCATCTTGGGGTTGGGGGAGGGTTGAGATGGGGTGAAAATTTGGAACTCAAACCTTGTGGAAGTAAATATTGAAAACTAAAATAAATGAATTTATATTTAAAAAGATAAAAAAAATAATAAAATTAGGGAAAATGAGAAAAGTACTGCAGAATTGGAGAAGGCAAATGTTTTCATTTTTTCATAACAGAAAAGAAAAGCTAAAGACTGGTGAACTTGACTTTAATTTCTGGAAAAATCTGCAAAGGCTATTATCAATGGAATGATCTGTGAACATATAAAAAAAGTAAATGGTGATCAAAAAAAGACATCAGGCTTCAAGAAGAACAGGTTATTCCAGAATAAATTTCATTTCTACTTTTTGATAGGGTTGCTGAACTACCTGATCAAGGGAATGCTATAAATTTACAAAGCTAAGTGATAAATTTTAGCAAAGCATTTTACAAAACTCATGCATATGGAGAAATGAGGGCCAGATGATAATACAATTGGATGGAGTCTGAAGTGGTTGAGTTGTTGAATTCAATAAGTAGGTATTAATGACTTGAAGTAGATTTTGAAGGAAAGGTTCAAGGGGACATCCTAAGGATCTTTGCTTATCTCTGTACTATTATTTATTTAGTCATTTGTTTGTCAATGATCGATAAAGGCACAGCTATTTTGACTAGTATATTGTATAAGATCCAAAACTGGAAGTATAACAATCAGACTGAATGACAGTCAAGATTTAGTAATTTTTCAATAGTCTAAAACATTAGTTTAAATTTTAAAGTGGACAAATGTAAAATCTTTCATTTGGGCTCAAAAAATTAACTTCATAAAAGTGATATAGGTATGACTATATAATGGCTCATATGAAAATGATCTATGGCCTTGAATTGACTACAAGTTCAATATGAATCAACAGTGTGACATGATATGGTTTCCCAGAGAGGCTTAATGTAAAAGACCAAGGAAGTGTTACATAATACAGTTTTTCTCTGCTCTTGTTAAATAGTTTCTGGAGTAATGACACTACATTTTTAGGAAAGTATTTAGAAAGAGGTTGAATAGGATTGTGAAGATCTTAAATAACATGCCATTTAGGGACCAGTTAGAAGTGAACATATGTAGCCTGGAAAAGAGGAGACTTGAAGGAAGGGAATGCAAGTGATCTCTTCAAATACTTAAATGATTGTCACTTGGAAGAAAAATTGGACTTTGCTTGCTTTCTGAGGTCAGACTAGGAGCAATGGGTTGAAGTTTGAAATAAGCAAATTATTCTTGATAGGAATGAAAACTTCCTGAAAACAGAGCTATTCCAAAGTGGAATGTATTACCTTGGGAGTTAGAGGGTTCTTGCTCTCTGGACAATATCAAGAAAGGGCAGAGTGATCACTTGTTGGACAAGTTGTGTGGAGGCATTCTTGGCGAGGTATAAGTTGAACTACATGGCCTCTGAAATTCTTTCCAACTCTTAGAATCTGGGAAACCTTTTTTTGATTATTTACTTGGAGTCTGTGTCCCATGACACATTCATCACAGGTAGAAAGGATGCTTTTGTAAAATAAATCTAGAAGCTGATATTTCATCTTCTTTCAACTCATACTTGGCAGATCCAGTTAATAGGGGTATTTATGCAGCCTTTAGGCTGGCTCCCTTCTTCTGCCATCTGCCTCATGTATATGTACACTACAAGCTCCATATGCTTCTTCAACTCCAGTAAGCCTTGAAGTATTCTGAGCTTTCACCAGGGCCAGTTTAGACAAATGACTTAACTAATTTGTTTTGGGTTTCTAGTGAGTGGGAAGTGAATTTGGCAGTACTCAAAATCTCTCAAAGTGTTTTGCCTTTAATAGAAATAACAGCTGGACAAATGGTACTCTCTAAAACTTTTTTTTTTCTCTTTCAAAATTCTGAATGCCTACTACTCAAACTGAGAAATCGCTTTTGTGATTAAAAGGGGAAAGTCACAAATTACTTCTTTGGTTGCAGCAAGTGAGTCTGGGGTAATTGTTATGAGAATCAACTCACTACTTTTTTACTATACTTATGTTTTTCATATTTGTTGAAGATGTGGGTGGCATGTGTGTCTAGTGGTGTTTATTAAACACACAGTTGGTGACTAACTTTATGATGCTCTGTAACATTACTTTCATCTGGGAGTAGGGTAGAAGACTGTCCCCTCAACCATATCCAAGCCAAGAAGCTCTACTCTCTCTGTCTAGGGGTGATAAACCTCATTGAGCTGTTTCCTTGTGGAAGCCTTTGATTCCTTAACACATCCCACCATGGATTGAACCAGGAAACCTCTCTACATAGAAGAACAAAAGAATACCTGAGCCCTTGCTTTCATTATTTAATTTTAAATTAGCAATTTCCAATTAGCAAACTGTATTTCCTCTTTCCCATATCCCCTGGTCTCTGGGGTAGAAACACAAAACACTTATAACATATATAGTCTTGCAAAACAAATTCTCATATTACCCACCTCCAAAAAATATTTAACTCATCCTGCATTTTGATCCATCATTTCTTTGTCATGAGATAGGTAGTTGTCTTCATCATAAGTTCTCTGGAATCATGGTTGATCATTGCGTTGTTCAAAGTGGTACAAACATTGTAAAGTTAGTGCTCCACATTCTATTCTGAATTTGGAATCTTTATTCTTCAAATTTTGTATGTTGATATAGAGAAAAAGTCTATTTCCCAGCATATGCTGCTCTAGTTTTGACCATCGCTCTAGAATCAAGCTGCCTGCTCTTCTGAACTTTCCTCCCTATTCTAATCAGCCCTGGTCCTCTCTAGGACTGCTCTAATCTAGTTTTCTGCTGACCTAGAAACCCACTGCACCCTTTGGACTACCTGTTCTAATCTTAAGAATTACTATCAACATTTTTTTTTTAAATTTATTTATTATTGGGTTTCTACCAAAGACGATAATCCAAGGCCATACTTTTCATTGAAGTACTTTTCATTGGAATACTTTTCACTTTTCTCACTCCCTCTGCTTTCCAGGACCAGGTGGTGGGCATATTTCTTGATCAGCACTGTCACTTCTAGGTGATTTTTTTTTTTTACTATTATTCATGCTCAGTAGCATGGTAAATAAGAGTGTTGGACTTGGAATCAAGAAGACCTCAGTTCAAATCCTGAGTCAATTACTTATTAGTTATGCAACCCTTGGTAAGTTAAAGTTGCAAACTGCTTCAGTTTCCCCAGATGTAAAAAGAGTATAATAATATTACTTATCTCACAGTGTTATTGTGGAAACAAATATGCTAGCCTATTTATAGTGCTTTACAAATAAATCTTAAAGTACTATATAAATGCTAGTTATTATTTTAATTACACTTCTCACCTGTGGTTCCAAGAAGCTGTAGCATGCACAGTGGCCACAACTCAGTAAAATTTTCTCAGCAGATGGGCGAAACCAAGTTGAGAGGGTAACCAACAGGCCTCAAATTCATTGATGAGTCAGAAAGTTATCTACCTCAAGTATATGAAAACACTCCCCAGTGGAATGGGCAGATGAGAACAGTTTATCCAATGGCTACAAAGATGGCTGAGGCAGGCACTGTGAAGCTCTTAGAGCTTGGTTAGACATCAAAGATACCAAGGTCATCCACTGCATCCTGAGCCATAGTGAGCCGTCTTGACTTTTGTCTTGCCACTGGACTTCAATTACTCTGGAAGAGAGAGTGAGGCTGATGACTTTGTGCAACTCTGCCTTAAATCCAATTCACATGTAAGTTAAGACATCACCCATCATCCCCTATTTTACCCCAACATGGTGATGTCATTGATCCTCTTTAAAAGTGGACAGACAACATTTATAATTATAATTCCTCTACATCAAGTCCATTCAGTTCATTTAAAAGGAACATTACTCCTTTGTTGTTGCTTTCATCAACCAACTCCAGTTTATTCTCTATGACTTTAGTTCTTCTTCCATGCTCTTCCTCTTAACACTTTCTCCTGCCATTAGCCTCAGTAATTCAATATTTATTTTGACAACACCTCTGACACTCTGTACATAATTCTCTGCTTCATCAACTCTAATCGCCTCTTCTTTCTTTACTATGACTGCTCATTTCTGTGATCATACCAAAGAAGCAGAATTTTGAAATCCCACTTTTTATCCAGTCACCTATCTCTATTAGTTTATTTGACCAAAAACATGAATTTCCTGGTGATTAATCTGCCAGTGATGATATCTTCTGAATTTAGCCTTACAAAATGGAAATACAATCTACCACTGATCAAATACTTGAAAATTTTCCACTTTGGTGGGACCTCACAGATGTTATGCTCCTGAATAAACATGAATAAAGCATAGCCTTCGAGAAGTAATGGTCATTTTTTTGCAATATGATGAGTCATTGGACTAGTACTTTAATAAATGAATTTAACAATAGAGCACCGGCCCTAAAGTCAGGAGGACATGAGTTCAAATCTGGCCTCAGACCAAACACTTGTCACTTACTAGCTGTGTGACCCTGGGCAAGTCACTTAACCCCAATTGCTTAAAAACCAAGAATAAATAAATAAATGAATTAATTTCATGATTATAAGAATATAGAGAGCTGTCATAGAATAGAAAACAATATAAGATACAATGTTTCAAAATGTTATCAGTTTGAATCAAAAGGAAAGAAAAGTAATTTAAAATTTAAAATAGGACCTATTAAATTATTGGATATAAATTTTGAGGGAGAAAGGACATTCATTGGCATCATGAAGATTTTAAATATGGGAATTTAGGTATCACTAATAGTGAATTCAAAAGTAGGCATTGTGTTATAGAGCACACAGCAATGATTTGGTACCAGAATATCTGGTCTAATCTCAGCTCTGCTGTCTTTTGCTTATATGAACTTAGAAAAGTCATTCTCCTCTGGGCCTTAATTTCCTCTTCATCTACAAAATGAAGCAGTTGGATTATTTGATCTCTGGGTTATATTCCAATTTTATGATGCCAGCAGCATGTTTTAGTGGAAAGGTAGTAATAATCTTGTTTGCATTTGAATCACTGACTCAGGAAATCCATCAAGTAATCTATGTGAAGATATCACCTAGGGAGTCAAGGAGATGGGCAGGAAAACAAAAAGAAATGTTAGGGATGGAGTTGTAGATTTGGGCTTCATTTTCATACATGAAATTATTGAAGCTATGAGAATTAATGAACTTCCCAAGGCAGAGAGGGTAGAATGGAATTTTCAGATCATAGATTTAGATGTGGAAGGGAAAGAATAAATTAATGAATTTGTTACAATTGCACATTTAGTGTTTACTCTGTTCCAAGAAATGTGTTAAACTCTAGAGATACAAACATAAATGTGAGCCAATTCTAATCTCAAGGAGTTTACATTTCAATGGGGGAAATTACAAATTTTGGAGCAAATATCTATGGATAAGGAAGGATGTTCTGTTCTGGGAAGTCACTGAGTTGGTGAATTAAACAATAGGGTAGTTGATTGACAAGCACATTCTTTCCAAAGGCAATGACAATGCTGATTTTATAATAGTTTTCACTGCAAGAAATAGAAAGGGTGAAGAGAGACCTGGCAACAATTAGAAAATGACTGGGGTGGGAATGTGAATGGACAGGAAATTCAGATCTGAAGAGCTTGGCTCTTTAAAAGCATGGTCTATGCAGGACCATAGAGATAACCAACTCAGTCTTCATTTTATGGATGAAGAAATTGTAGTACTGGAGAGTGAAATTAGTCTCTTCAATGGGCCCTGGCCTGGTGGTACAATGATCTTCAATGAAACCTGAGCACTGCAAATCCATCTAGAATGAGGAAGTACCCTAAGGGCAGTGGACATAAAAGAATTTAAATGAGAGCAAGAAAAAAAAAAGCTGAAAGTGGTGGAAACACAGAAAAAAATAAAGTTGTTAAGTAGGAGAGGGAGGCAAGCAATTAGAGGCATTTAACCCTGAGTCATGTAGACTCTATTTTGAAAATCACATAAATGACCTGCAGGCTGATACAGCATCCATCTTTTGGGGATAAAATCAAATATAGGAAGGGCAAGACCCTCACCTCATATGGTCACCATTATCAGAACTTGGGACAGTCCTCGCTAGGGTAAATAGAAATCAAGGGTCCTGAAGAAGACCAGCCTGTCCACTGACAACAACTGTTGTTGGGTCTGATTCTGACTTTGCATCATGTTCAAGTCTTACTCCTGACTCCTCTGATAATTCTCAGTGAAAGTATAAATAGAACTACTGTAGAGAGTGTGCATACCAAGTCAAATCTGGAACCTGGGGCTCTTCAGGGCTAATTCACTTGCTAAATGCCATATAGGTAGTAAGTAACAGAGTCGGAATTTGAAACCAAGGCCTTTAATTCCAAATATGTGATGTACTTTAAAAGAAAGGACGAGGTCAGAATTTTGGGGATGACCTACCACAAAGAGTTAGAGAGAAGTCAAGAAGCCAAAGGAGGAATGATGATAGTCCACTTTTTTAAAGAGTTATTTTATTTTTAATTTATAGAATAAAACAAGCATTTCCATAATATAGTATAATAAAAAAAAGGTGATTGCATATGAAACTGCAAAATCTATTATGGACAAATTGCTATTCCTTTTAAACATTATAAAGGTATCATGTAAATGTCTTTTTTTTCCTTCTTTTCTTCCTCCCCACCCTAAAGTTGGCTATCATTAGACAAAGTAGGTATATATAGATATAGATATAGATGTAGATAGATAGATAGTGTGTGTGTGTGTGTGTGTGTGTGTGTGTGTGTGTGTGTGTTTAGAATTACTCTATACATCTATTTATCGATTCTTTTTCTGGACACAGAATCTTTCTTCATATGTCCTTTATTTTTAATTTTTTGTATTTATAATAGTCAGAATGACTTAGTCACTCAAAGTCATTCTTAAAACTCTTTTATACAGAGAGATTTAATGTTTAGAAAGATATATATATATATATTTATGCAGTTATCAATACATAAACACAAATACAAATATACATGATTATGTGTGTATAGAAAGACAAATTGACAGAAGCAGAGAGAGAGAGAGAGAGAGAGAGAGAGAGAGAGAGAGAGAGAGAAATCTTACTTAATCCTCACTATAAACCTCTGAGGTAGATCTATTTTTATCCTCACTTTACCAATGAGGATGCTAAAGCTTAGAGAAGCCCAGTTAGGATGTGTCTGAGGCCAGATTTAAATTCAAATATTCTATCTTTATTTTTTAATTTAATATTTTATTTTCCCCAATTACATGTAAAAATAATTTAACCATTCTTTTTACAAATTTTACAAATTTTTAAATTTTGAGTTCCATACTTTCTCCCTATCTCCTTCAATTCGACATAGGTTATACGTGTGTAGTCATGCAAAAAGTATTTCCATGTAAGTCATGCTGTGAAAGAAAACAAAGACCCTCCCCCCAAAAAAAGACAACAAGAAAAATAAAGAAAAAGTATCTTAAATCTGCATTCAGACTCCTTTACTTTGAATAGGTAAGTCATTTTTTCTTGTTATTAGAATATTTGCAGGAAATAACATGTTTCTGAAAAGCTTGAGTGTCCATGATAAAGAAAGTGAGGATATAAGGACCAAATTGTAACATGCGGAGAAGATCTTTTTATTCATCTCAGAGAGAAGGATATGTTTATCTCTATCCTAGTTTGATCTACTACTATGGCTGTTCAGCAGAAAACAGGGCATAAAAGCAGAGGTCCTGCAGTCCAGAGTCATAGGATTCCAACTCCATGACTATGGAGAAGTCTCTATGTCTGCAACAGCTCCCATAGGTGGCAAAGGGAGCTCATTAGTGTTTGTAGAAGCAGAGGATATAAAGACCACACACATGGAATCAGAATGATCCAGTGCAGACTTGAACCTGTGAGTTGGGGAGTTTCAGTATCTCTTCCTAACAACATTCCCCAGGCACAGGGTTAGGATAAATCTAATGCTTGCTTCCCACCTCTAGCTTCCTATGGTTGAGGTCCTTGACTGCTCACCAGCTTTGTGTATAAGATAAAGCGTTAGAAGAATTTTTTAAAGTCATCTAGTACAAGGAATTCTAATTCTGTTATACAATAACATATACTGTGGTAGATGAATGTCCTACCTGCAGCTAAATTTTTACTCTTTCCTCAAAAATCAAATCCCTACCTGCAAATTAACTAAAGACACCAAACTAATCCTTCCATCACTCTATTTACTTATCTTAAAAAAAAAAAAAGTGGGGCAGGGGGAGGTTGGAGGAACCACTCTTGCTTTAAGGTATTCTAAAGGGGTCAGCTAGGTGGTGCAGTGATGGAGAACGAGGCCTGGAGTCAGGAGTTCAAAGCCAGCTTGAGACACTTATTAGTTGTGTATCCTTGGGCAAGTGACTTAATACCATATGCCTCAGTATCTTCTGCTATAAAATGAGCTAGAGAAGGAAATGGCTAACCACTCCCATGTCTTTGCCAAGAAAACCTCAAATGGGGTCACAAAGAGTTGGACAAGACTGAAACAACTAAACAACAAAAAAGGAGGGTAGGGGGAAAAGCTAGAGTAATATCTACATTCCCCAATCCTAGAATTTCATGGTTTATGCAGTGACAGGGATTCTGGTAACCATGAAGAATGATTCAGTATAGTGCTCAGGTGCTTAAAAACTTTTTTAGAATTGAAAA